TACATTCATTTTACTCTCAAAGAAAAAGAATAAAGAATTTTCTGTTTAACAATTTAAAAGTGAGAATAGATGCATTTCTTTCTTTCCTGTGTATTACTATTGTACTATCTTCTTGTGATGCTCTTTCAGGAGTTCAAAACAATAATTAAGTCCAGGGATCACATTACTAAGCTTTTCAGTGTTTTCTGATTACTATGTAAATCTCTGGCAAAGAATATTTATCAGAAATGTGTGCTTTCTTCCGTGACTCTTTTCCTCAGAATGTAGAGTGTCTTATGGAATATTATACCCTGGATCTTTAAATAAGAAAGCTTGTGTGATATTTTGAGTTTCAGAACCTTCTGTTTTGAGTTTAGTAAAGTGAAATCCAAGGGAAGGGAGTTTAAAATAACAACTTGGTGAGATTAATTTAAAGAAGAAAATCAGCCTTCACATCAGAAAATATAATACCTTTGCTAATGCCATCTAAAGAGCAGTCATTTAATACTGTTTAACTGAAACCGTATGGATAACATAATTGTCTGCCTAAGCAACCTTACTTTGGCATTTTCTCTTTCGTATTTTTATTGTCACCTTTACAGTTATTATGAAGAACTTTTACTCAGATATAACACTATATTACATTTAATAAATAGGTTAAGGTTGTAGCTCGGTAGTGTGCATCTTATATAGCAAGATACCTGTGGCCCTCACATGGGAGAGGGAACATTTGGAGCAGATAAAGTACGTGTCAGCAGTGAAGAAGTACCAGAAGACCCTTGTGTGATTTATAGTCTCATGACTTAGAGACTGAAAGTTGATTTGCATTGAATCAGCACAATATATTGGGTTTTTAGAAGTCCTGAACAGGCTTCCCCATAAATGTGGATTGGCCAGATCCAGCAAGCGTTGTATGTTGGACATTCATTAGCAATAGTCACGGAGTGAAAAAAAAGGAGTCAAGGAGTCGTCCTCAAAGCTCATGTGCCTTAATTCACATCTTGAAAAGCCTCGCTCTAGCAGCCGGGGGGGGGAAGTTGCATTGAAACTTTAATATCAACTCAAGAAAATCAGAAAGAAGGGGAAAACTGAGAGAAAATTATGCTCTCCAGCTGTATTCTGACCACAGACTGCTTGGGTCCTAGGACTTTTTTGCTCAAATAGGACTTTGTGACATGGCTGAAGTCATCCCTCTAACAGACTGTGATGGCAAGGGATATTTCTTATTAACGCACTTGAAAATGTGACTGATAGTGAAACCAGCCTAAGAGGCTGCAGTAGGTGTGGCCATAATGTCTGTTACACCTTTAGTTTTCACAGTGACCACTTTAGGCTCCTCATTTATAGTGCTGGTCTGTGAATTGAAGGAGTTTGCATCTTGGGTATGTTTAACAGACAGATTGTGGATTGTGTTCTGCAGGAGACAAGCTGAGCAAGTTCTTTCTGTTAATTTATTTACCTTTGGCTAACCAAAAACTGCAACTGTTTTTAAACACAAGCAATCGCATTATTCATGTTAAGATGAGCATTAGATGTAACAAAAATGATCAGCCTTTTTTTGACTCTTGCTATTCATAGCACTCAGTCAGCACTTCAGCAGCTTAACAGCCTGGCAAGGACTTGCCCCTGGACTAGTACTGTCTGTAGAAGCTCTTGTGGCCTTCTCTGTCACTGTTAGACCCAAGTACTAGATATTACTATATGAATTTATACCATAATGTTCTACTTGCCATATCATATTCTTCCTCAAGGATTCTCATGAATGCTTTTCTTTCACATTAGAATATGGAAAAAATGACAATGGACTGGGTCTAAATTTATTATGAAAAGAAAGACTTTGTTCTGCCCTAGACATACTGAGGATCAGCACTCAAGATTAAGCCTGTAATTCTTTCTCTATGATTCCTCTGCTGTGAATACCAGAGTTCTAAAAGATTGTTTGTTTATTTGTTTGCTTGTTTTACTATCTGTCTAACAGCAAGTGGGATTCAAGTATTAAGTCTTCTGGGTTTGTTCATTGTTCTTTCCAGAGAACCAAAAGTACTTAGCATCTGTCACTAATTGTAGCCTGCTTAAGAAAACAAGGAAGTCATCTTTATCAAAGGAGATGATCCTGCCCCTCTACTCTGCTCTCGTGAGACCTCAGTTGGAGTATTGTTTACAGGTCTGGTGTCCTCAACATAAGAAGGACATGGAGCTGCTAGAGCAAGTCCAGAGGAGGGCCACGAGGACGATAAGAGGGCTGGAGCACCACCCGTATGAAGACAGGCTGAGCAAGTTGGGGCTGTTCAGCCTGGAGAAGAGAAGGCTGCATGGAGACCTCATAGCAGCCTTCGAGTATCTGAAGGGGGCCTACAAGGATGCTGGGGAGGGACTCTTTGTTAGGGACTCTAGTGGTAGGACATGGGGTAATGGCTTTAAACTTAAACAGGGGAAGTTTAGGTTAGATATATGGAAGAAGTTCTTCACAGTGAGAGTGGTGAGGCACTGGAATAGGTTGCCCAAGGAAGTTGTGAATGCTCCAACCCTGGCGGTGTTCAAGGCCAGGTTCGACAGAGCCTTGGGCGCCATAGTTTAGTGCAAGGTGTCCCTGCTCATGGCAGGGGGGTTGGAACTAGATGATCTTAAGGTCCTTTCCAACCCTAACTGTTCTATGATTCTATGATCTGTATCTAGGCCAATCAGGTGCAAGTTCCAGGAGGAAACTAAGAGAGAGAATTGGGAAAATTTGGTCAGTGCTTCTAGTGAAAGTAACCTGGTACTGACTTAGGCATGAGATACACTTATTCTATATCTTGTAGCCAACAGTGGCTTGTTAGAGTACAGTCAAGTCATTTGGGGAGGTTCTCTGTATATCACGTTCTTTCATCCTAACCTGTCTGCATATACGTGGTGGTGTTAGGGGGTTTGTGTTAGGTTTCATCTATGGCTGTTATCATGATGTTATACAAGATAGCCAGTCCAAACATATATTGCTCCTCAGCAATCATGTGAATGAAGTAGTCATTATCCTGTGCTATGCTGTATATAAACCCATTTGGTAGCTAGGCAGTTTAGACTTCAGAGAGTGTTCTTAGTCTTAATCCCCATAGATAGTGTCTGTTATGGAAGCTTGAGAAGCTGGAGAACCCATTTGAATCTCTCTAAACCATGCTACCTCCAGGCGATTTCTAAGTTTTAAATTAATGTTTCGATTCTGAGGACTCTAAGTCTTAAAATATTATGGTCTATTCTAAGGGGTGCTGGTTGATCATTACACTATCTCAGTAAGTAGGTAGTGTTTACTCTTATTTCCCACTTGTATGAAAGCACTGAATTTTTGAACATGGCAAAACATCTAATGATGTTTTGTCACATTCATGTTACTGGCAGGACTAGTATTCAGTGTTGTCAGACTGTGGCTGGAAGTCTTATCTCTGCGTCACATTTAGTCACATTATTTTCTTAGACTGTACAGTACTAACTTTTTAAACAAACATATTGCCCTGCTGTTCAAGGAACTACACTTCTTATCTGTATTGGAACAGTCTTTACTGTCTTGATATTAAAGCAAAATAATCCTGATTTCCTTTCATCAAAAAAGCAAATGAGATCAATGAACTTATGCAATGAAATTGAATTCTTAATCCATCAAATCAGTGTTAGAATTCCATTTGATTCAATCAAGCTGCATTTAGAAGACTACAGTCTTCTTGAAAACATATTTCCTTCTCAATACAAACCATAGAATCATAGGTTATCTCAAGTTGGAAGAGGCCCATAAGGATCATCGAATCCAACTCCCTGCTGCTCACAGGACCACCTAACACTAAACCATATGACTAAGAGCATCATCCAGACACTCCTTGAACCCTGACAGGCTTGGTACTATAATCACTTTCCTGGGAAGCCTGTTCCAGTTACCAACCACTCTCCCAGTTGAAGAACCTTTTTCCCAGCGTCCAACCTGAACTTTCCCTGATGCAGCTTCATTCCATTTCCATATGTCCTATCACTGGTCACTAGAGAGATGAGATCAGCACCTCCCCCTCCTGTGCCCCCCTTGAGGAAGGTGTAGACTTCAATGAGGGCACCCGAAAGCCTTCTCTTCTCCAACCTGAACAAGCCAAGTGACCTCAGCCTTTCCTCATAAGTGTTGCCCTCAAGGCCTTTCACCAAAGATCACCCTTCTCTGGACACACTTTTAACAGTTTGATGTCCTTATATTGAGGCACCCAAACTGCACACAGTACTTGAGGTGGGGCTGCACCAGTACAGTGTAGATGGGGACAATCCCTCAACTGGCTAGCTATGCTGTGCTTGATGCACCCCAGGACACTGTTGGCCCCTTTTGGCTGCCAGGGCACAGTGTTGACTCATACTCAACTTGCCATCAACCCAAACCCCAGATCTCTTTCCACAGGACTGCTCTCCAGCCTCTTGTCCCCTAGTTTGTGCATATAACCAGGATTACACCATCCCAGGTGGAGAAACCTGTGGAAGAACACCTGTAAAGCTCTGGTATGGTAGGTTGTTCAGGTCTAGTCCTACAACATTTCTGTTTTTTTGTGAAAGTTCCTTTGTGGCTCTGTTGGTTCAGGACAGATTGTAGAAGTGACAATTCTGTATATGCCATAAAGCAACTTTTATAATTAGCTAATTGTAGTTTTCTGAACATAGATATGTTTTCAAAGGTTATTCATGAGACATTAATTGGCAATAGATTTGATATTTCTGTGTAAGATTTTGTTTAATGTTTTCTCATTTACCTCAGTTTTTGAGAAAAAGAAAACGCTAAACTAGTTCGCATTTCTTAATATCAGTCAGTATTGTGGTCTTACACTGTTCTAATAACAAATTACATTAAACAAGGCTATCTAAGTACTGTGGTAGTGCTTCAGGAAAATGACTGGATTTAATATTTGTTTTATGGCTTCCCTTAACTTTAGGTAGATTTTTGTTCTATAAAATGTATAAAGTTGGTTTGTTCATTTCACATATTGAAAATACTAATAAAAGGTACACAATTTCATATTTTACAGGTCAACAGCAAGGACAGGATGGAGTAAAAGTACAGCAAGCCACGATAGCTCCTGTTACTGTAGCAGTAGGTGGCATTGCTAATGCAGCAATTGGTGCTGTTAGTCCTGATCAGATAACACAAGTGCAGCTACAACAAGCTCAACAAGCTTCTGACCAGGAAGTGCAACCTGGCAAGAGATTGAGAAGAGTTGCCTGCTCATGTCCTAATTGCAGAGAGGGAGAAGGAAGGTAAATGTAAATTCTATCAGTATGTATTTAGGCATTTCATCACACCTCACCTCATTTGGGCATGAGATTTTTCTTATGCTGCTTACCTTCTTAATGTTTTCTATTAGGAATTATTTTTATTTCTTTTTAGACAGGGAATTATAATTGTCTCTATTAGCATAAAATATTGTTCCTAATAGCTAGCAATATTTTAGAATATAATTACTTAGCTGTTTAAATTTGATCTTTTTAGGGGCAGCAATGAACCAGGAAAAAAGAAACAACATATATGCCATATTGAAGGATGTGGAAAAGTTTATGGCAAGACATCTCATCTTCGAGCACATCTGCGCTGGCATACTGGTGAAAGACCATTTGTATGCAACTGGATGTTTTGTGGCAAGAGATTTACAAGGAGTGATGAGTTACAGAGACACAGAAGAACCCACACAGGTTGGTTAGCCCTCTCTGTATGCATAGTATAGCAAGTCTGAATCATAGTGGCCATGGTTAAATAGTGATATCAAAGTTCTTACTCATTAGGGTCTCTGAAAACTTCTTTTAAATGTAAATAAAGTAACTTTAAAACAAAGGAGGTGGTAGATTTCAGTTTTCATCAAATCAAGGTGACCGTAAAATCAAATAAAATTAGATCTATAGATAAAATGAGATCTATTCAAACTGTTCTTCTGTACCTATACTAAAAAAAGATGACTTCTATCACAAATAGCTGATGTACTATTTGTGATGAAATAGTACATCATCTAAATTTTGTAGATTTAGATCAGGCATGCATCATAGAATGGTTTTGGTTGGAAGGGACGTCAAAGATCATCTAGTTCCAGCCCCCCTGCCATGGGCAGGGACACTTTCCACTAGACCAGGTTGCTCCAAGCCCTGTCCAATCTGGCCTTGAACACTGCCAGGGATGGGGCAGCCACAGCTTCTCTGTGCAACCTGTGCCAATGTCTTGCCACTCTCACAGGGAGGAATTTCTTTCTAAATATCTAATCTAAATCTCCCCTCTGTCAGTTTAAGGCCATTCCCCCTTGTCCTATCATTACATACCCTTTTGTAAGAAGTCCCTCTCAGATTTCTTGTAGGCCCTCCTTAGGCACTGGAAGCTCCTCTAAGGCCTCCTCTGAGCCTTCTCTCCAGGCTGAACAACCCCAGCTCACTCAGCCTGTCTTCATAGGAGAGATGCACCTGTCCTCTGATCATGTAGGATTGTCCATGGACCAGGGCTATTGTCTCCTCACTTGGACTAGCTCAATGCTTACGAAATTTATTAAACCTAGTCCATACATCAGATTTGGTCTTCTTGGGAAGTTTCCTGAAGTTCCAAGTGAGAACTGGTAAAGCACATTCTTGTAAGAGTTCAGATTGGAAAGGTGGACCTTTTAGAAACTGAAAGTTTTATCAACCTCCTTCTGTTTCTAGCCCCAGGAAGGTGTCTGTCTCCTCCCCCAACTTGAAAAGAAGATAGCACTTGTAGTCTAAGTGCTAACTACATTTGAACAGTGACAGGACTTTTTAGTATGTTGAATTTATCAGTCTTAATGTAGGTCTCATACATCCTCATGGACCTTTGGGAATCATGTTTCCAAATTCTCTTCAATAACAAAAATATCTAAATAACAAAAGTGTTCTTAAAAAATGCTGTCAAGTCATTCTTTCAGGGCTTTTTATCTCTCCTACTCTGTCAGGTTTATGGAAGTTAATGAAAATTCTCTGGTGACCTGAAATTCAAACTTCTCACTAGACAATCACAGCATAGAAATATTTGTTGAGAACATTTTAGTAGTGAAGAGTAGATTGACAAAGGCATGTGGCTGAACAGAACACACCTGGAAATCAGACAGGTAGAAAAGAAAACTTTGTATCCTTTTAAAGATGCTTCAAATGTTGATTAGAAAAGGGTCAGATTCACATGATCAAGTGGTGTTCAGTGCTCTCTTTCAGTAACATTTTGGTTTTGTTCTTCTTTTAAAAAAGGTGAAAAGAGATTTGAGTGTCCAGAATGTTCTAAAAGGTTTATGCGAAGTGACCATCTCTCAAAACATGTCAAAACTCATCAGAACAAGAAGGGTGGTGGAACAGCCCTTGCTATTGTTACCTCAGGAGAACTGGACTCTTCAGTTACTGAGGTTCTTGGTTCTCCAAGAATTGTCACTGTTGCTGCCATTTCTCAAGATTCAAACCCAGCAACCCCTAATGTTTCAACAAACATGGAAGAATTCTGAAAGGATCACTTATATGGACACCTAGTGCTGCACTTAAGTTTACATACCTTTCAGGATATGGATGTGGGCTGGTGAAGTGGATTACAGAGCAGGAAATCACAGTTTCAGTCATGACTTCTGTAAGTGTTCCAGGTTGGAGGGTCAGCATGGGAAGTGTACACCGGTGCAAAAAGACTAAAATTTCAAAAATACGAACAGCGCAAATTGATGTACTGGATAAACAGATGGGGGAATATTATTTCCATACTGTACTTTTTTAGTTATGTGTCTGTATATCATGTAATGGTTTTAAATGAACTTCCACCCCCCAGTTTTAGCATTGTATGGTAATGTGTTTATAAAAACAGATAATATCAATGTAAAACAGGGTGGACCTTGGCTGGGATTAGTATCATTTGATGAAGGTACTTTGTTTTTAAAATAAATTTGTAATATTTTCAAGAGAGTATCCTTTTTCCACAAGGCACAGCAAAACAATACAGATTGAACAGAAGTGGAAATATTTTAAGTTTTTGCTCAGTCCGTAGAACATGTCAGTTGATTTTGGCCGTCTTTTCTCAAGTGTTGGAATTACTCAAACAGCAGCTGGATGGTACGTGCTGCAGAGTGGTTCTGAGGTGGGCCTCAGATTGATTTTGACCACTACATTATAGTAGTGTGTATAGATGACAATCAGTGAGTTCTAATTCCTCTCTTTGTTTGGAGAGCTAAGGTTATGTAGAATTAGTGTATACAGTAAGAAAGATAAAACCGTAGAAAGAGATTAATGTGAGATTTTACTAAAGTGATGGTATCTTTATGTAGGATGAAAAATGAATATGGCAACTTTTGTGTTAATTTTGGGTATTTCATTTCATTATATTTTAAAACATCTATGGTCCATTTCTAAGTCATAGGTAAAATGAATCACAAAAACTCAATTTTAAGTATTTGGATGTTTTAATTTTTTTGGAATTCATGGAAATTAATCAGACAATTGAGTGTTGTAGCACATTCTCCAGTATCTTCTCTCTGTAAATATTAGTTTATTATACTGTGGTTAATGTGCTGGGTTCTTTATGCTTTGACTTACTAGCCAAAGAAAAGAATTAATTATCACATTTTAACCAAAACCAGGTATTGTAAGTAAACATTTTCTCTCTTTTCCCCTAAATATTACTGTCTTTATTTTCTTTTCAAGGATAATGTGTGGGCTGGTAATAAGTATCTGTTACCTGTTAAATCTTACACTGAGCCTCCAACCATAAAACCACCTGGGGAAAGAGGAATATAGATATCTTTATACTACACAACTTTCGATTTCAAAGGTTTGGCTACATTTTCAGATGTACTAGTTTAAAAAAAAAAAATAGAGGAAATGAAAAACAAACTCCATTTTCTATGTGAAAACTCCAGTTCATACAAGGAGGAAAGATGGCCAAATATTTCATACTCAGGATTTTTAATTGTTCCCATAGACATAAATGTAACCTTTTACACATACAGTCATTTGGTAATAATTCTCATGACCAGTTTTTAAAAAAAATTTATACACCAAAATATTTTTTATGTAACTAAAGGAAGTACAGTGCAAGAAGGGTAAGATTTTTTTTTTTTCCCTGCAGATTACAAAAGGAAGAATGTGTGGTAGCTGTTGGTTTGAGAGACAGAACAGATACCTTGTGCATTCCCTTACAAAACATATACTTTTCATCTGAATACTTTATCAATCTTGTGGTGTTTTCTGTATTTTTGAAGCAAGAGAAATACCAATCATTGTTTACACTGTGTACACTTTAGGCCAGCCCTTTGTAGCAAAATAATAAGCTGAGGGTATTTTATACTTTCAGTTTACATAAAAAGCTTTGAGATTAAAGAAAAACAATTTTACACTGTGGTTATAAATTTCAAGTTTCTTAAAGCTTTTGTAGACTTGTAACAGAGTCTTTAAATTTTAGTTGGGTTTTGTACATTATTTTGTATATTTTATTTAAAGTACTCTTAACTGATGTATCTGGAATTAAACATCGGAATCGATTAGATGTTACATTTAATACAGATGAACATTAGGTAGTATTAACTGTTAATTTTATTATATAGGAAATGAAACGTCAAATATATATTTTATCATTATGCTTCACAATCAGTGCTATAAATTTCTTTATGCAAAGATGAACTTTCCTAATGTTGATACCATGTTTCCTAGAAGTTAACGATTTTTGTAAGCCGAAGTTACAAGCATTCTGCACAACCATTTCATATATAATTTTTTCATGCATACTTACGTATGCAGATAGGAAACTGAAGTAATTTTTAATTTGCAATGAATCCCTATTATAGATGTATCAAAATCTCAATCTGGTTGGCTTCATAGCATCTCAAGTACATTAACTTGTGTTAGCAGGTGCACATTTTACCGCTGGAATTAGAAACATTTTGACAGTCTGTTCTGCATACCATTCTGAATCCACTTTTCTGTCTTAAAAGGATCGTAAATTTCAATGTCCTTTATTTGACTCAGTGGGATATAGCTGTTGTAAGTAATAGGGCACAGATGTGCAGTAGTATCTTGTTTAATGGCATTTCACTGTTCATTCCCTCTGCCACCGTTAAAAATTTTGCTTTATTGTAATTATCAGTGCAAAGTGTATTTACCATGGTAGAACTCCAGTGTTAGAATAGTTTTTTTCTTACAATATACTTTCTTTGGTTAGGTTCGTGTATGTGTTGCCGATTACATTAGAAATTGGTGTTAAGTCATTATTTATCACATTCTTTCACGAGAGCAGTAATAAAAGTGTGTAATCTAGGAGAAAAAGTTAATTTGTCAAAGTTAAGTAAGCATGATGTTTAGGTCCTATTTTTCAATTTTATAACTGTTTTATTGCAACAATATTTGTATTTAAGTCTTCATTTTAATGCCTTGTGGTGTTTTTTTATGCATGTCACTGAATTGTCATCCCGCAAGAATTGATGTGCAGCATAGGGTATTAAATCTACATAATGATTTTGGAACAGAAAAATAGTTGATGGTAAAAATGTAAATGTTTTGCAAAAAATCCTTATAAAAAAGTTTTGTAGTAATATTTCACTTGTAAATTTTTCTAAAAAAAAAAAAAAAAAAAGATGGAAAAGGAAAAAAAGGAGAGTAACATTTCCCCCCATCTAGAATTTAGAAATTAATTCTGCCAGCAAAGCCTCTAAGGCATTAATTTGACACTTTTACAATGCTGATTTGTATACTTTTTTTGGTGGGTTTGGAACTAAAATCATGTACAAGTTGTTGCCTGCAATAACATTTTGCAAGTAACCTATTAAAATTCCCTTGAGTTTAAAAGGTTTCTTCATTTAATTACTTACAATATAAAGTAGCAATAAATTATGTTTGAGTGATAATCTGTTCATCAGGAACACTAGAAAGCAAATGCTTCTCAATGGGGAAAGATTGGCAGTAGCTTCTGGATGTGTGTAATTAAGACCTGTACTTGCTGGTCAGCGTTTCCCAACTGGCAGATTCCCGGTAGGGAATTAAACCAGCAGATCCTAGCTCAGTGTGAGTTCTGTGCGGTTTGGTCAGCTCTTGTAAAGTGGAAGTTATGTTTATTCTGGAATATACCAAAGGAAAAACTTTTATAAGGTAAGGAGTATGTATACACACATACACATACACACAAAAAACTAAATTCAGAAAAAAAAATCAGTTTGAGAGGGAGATAAATAATAGAGGTGTCATAATTGTATTGCAGATAGCGAATGAATAGAACAGATAAATGGAACTGTGAAAGTACTGACTTCAACTCAGAAAATATATTGAGCTTTTCCTAGTGAAATGTAAACAGGCTCCTGCATTATGCTATACTAAAATAAGCATGATGGTATACTAAATTGCTAATTATAATGGTATCCAAACTTTTTTTTTTTTTTAATACTAAAAGGATTTTTATGGTAAGCCTTGCCATACTTTTGCAGTGAACAAGTAGTAATATTTCACAAAGGAAGAAATAAATACAGACTCACAGAATCATTTAAATTGTAAAAGACCTTTAAGATCATTAAGCCAAACCTCATGCTGGTAAGTCCAATACTAAACCATGTCCTTAAGTGCCACACCTACATGCAAGACCGCTTGCTTATTTCACCTTCCAAAAGAAGGTGGAATTTAAAATTTGTGGCTTCCAGCCTTGTGCTACAAGCCAGAATCGTTTTTCCTCTTTGCTAATTGAGACTTAAAATCAATTATCTCTATCATGTTTGATGAATACCTGTTTAATTTTAAGTCTCATTAAACTCTATTTGAATACAATGATTCTAATGTCAGACAAACTTATTAACTGAAGTCAAACTATGTCATAATTCAAAGAAACTGCATCTGACCGACTAATATGTCTTTATTGGCCAATTCTTTAGTAGTGTAGCACTGGCATTTTTATTGTTAATAAAAGCATGGGGTTTTGAAGCAATTTCTAGGTTATTGATAAGAGTAGTCCTCTGCTTACACAGCCACTGCATATAGTATCATAAAGTGTAACAAAAATAACAAGGACATTAAGTATAAATATGCATGTTGCGTTTTACCCTTTTAGTCCTTTAAATGTGATCATTCTACTCTGTGAAGCATAAAGTGCAACACCAGATTGAGTAATTTCTCCTGCAAGTTTACATTCAGTACTGTTGCTATAATTTTCTGAAATCATATTTTATATTTATTCCATTAGCTTAATTTTATGTCCAGCTAGGTAGCAAATATGAGGGTGTATTTTTCTGTGATATTCATGTTAATATTTAATTCATATTGAACTTCTTATCACCTTCACGTTTTTATGCTTTCCACATCTTTGCTTCCCATTCCTTTTCCTTTCCCCAAAGCTACTTGCATGATTTCCTTGTATCCTCAGACTTGTCGATGCACATGGAAAAACTGTGGTGACCAACAGCTAGCATACACTATCTTAGCTTGCTAGAATAACTTCTATATGGAGAGAAGATACCTTTTCTAGCAGAACTGCTTCACTCTAAACATG